TCAAATGCGACACATTAATGTAGACATATGTTTATAAATGTTCCTATACGTCTAAATGAGTTTCACTAAGCAACCGATATGAATTACTTATTAAATAAATACAATTCTTCATCTTGCAGTCATATTAAAGAGTCAGTGGATTTTTCCTTCTCTGTGCTGCAGTATCAACCATCCAGTCCTTTTTACCACTTTAAACACCTCTATAGGACCAGTAAAACCAGTACAATGCAGTTCACCCATTGCCAAAAAGTACTGTTGGAGTCAAACTCCGCCGGGTCCGTTGATGAGAAGAGACTCACTGCACACCAGAGGAGTTGTTGCCAGTTACCAGTTTATTATCTTATTCTGATTGCAATCAGGGAGCACACATCTCACACACGTACAGAATGTACAGCAAGAGGGCTAAGCTCGAGCCACAGGTATCGAGTCTGCCCCTTTATAGGCCTTCTGGGGTGACAACCCCCCTTCTTCTCTTCGGTACTTTCCCCTGCTCATGACAACAGCACATTCCAACCTTTATTCAACCCGTCTGGTACATATCTTAATATAATTGTTCTGACATTATAGTCTGATTGGCCAGCAAGTTCTGGATAGGTAATATATCTTAATATAATGTTCTGACGTTATGGTCTGATCTGCCCGCAAGTCCTTTAGCCAGTAGGTTCATGTCCCCATCTCTTGTCTAGCACCTGATTAATATAAACATTGGTTAAATGCTAAGTTCCTGTTTTTATGCACATTCTGTTCCTACTGGTCTGCACCTGCATCGGTAAATTCTTTTCCATAGTGCAGGGCCAGTATCAATTCCCCTTTTCTGTTATGATTAATGATAGAGAAGCTTCGGTTAGATATTAATGGCTGCGTGGCTGCACACATGTCTTTTATTAGATATTAGTAGTTATACAAGCGCACTCAATCATTAACCCCTCAGTACTATGTACTCCCATGCTGCTATACACCACTTTGTACGCCCTTACTGCTGTACACCACTATGTACTCCCATACTGCTGTACACCACTATGAACTCCCATGCTGCTATACACCACTTTGTACGCCCTTACTGCTGTACACCACTATGTACTCCCACACTGCTGTACACCACTATGTACTCCCATACTGCTGTACACCACTATGTACTCCCATGCTGCTATACACCACTTTGTACGCCCTTACTGCTGTACACCACTATGTACTCCCATACTGCTGTACACCACTATGTACTCCCATACTGCTGTACATCACTATGTACTCCCATACTGCTGTACACCCTATGTACGCCCTTACTGCTGTACACCCTATATACGCCCATACTATTGACAGATCAACAGAGATATGAACTGTTAAGGCGATGGGTGAATTGAATGACCTTGGTGCCTGGCAGAATTGCATATATCCTCTGCATCCAAGAGTTTTTTTTAATCATGCCTCCAGGGTTCAACATGGCTGTTCCAAACTGCGTTTGTCTGACTCTGTTAACAAAGTGCATACGTGCAACTTTTCTGCTTTACCTTTTAGCCTCAGTCTCGGGGCTACAGAGGCAGACAGCTGGCAGGTCTGCAGGAAAGACTAGCATGTTTGTTACGCTGTGGTGCACTCGCACACCGTCTGCGTCAGCCAACTTCCCGCTGCCCACCTTTAGCAGCTGGTTCTACGGATCACACCACCACGTACTATCACCCATGATTCAGCCATTTTATATAATGTTTACAAGTGCAAGTCGGGTTTGAATTACACTACACCAGTCTAGTGTAACTCTAGTGTAGTGTAGTGTAAACTAGTGTAGTGTAGCGTAGTCTAGTGTAAACTAGACTGATATGAATTCAAACAGACTTTGAATAAAAAAAAAGACATTTTAAATGTGTCAGCTTAATTCTAATGTTTTTCTAAATATATGTTACCTGGTGGTTTGGTAATCACAATTATCAATCCATCAAAGAAAACATCCACACAAAATAAATAAATAAAACTTATCTCACACCCGCTCTAACAACTTTCAACAGTCCTCAGTCCATATTTTAAAATTCATACGAAATATAAATATTTAATATACAGTGGAAGGTAATAGTGAAAGAGCTTTATTCTGCAAAGTGCTGATCTCTTCGTTGCGTACACCACTACATAATCCCATGCAACAATACCGCATTCCGTGTATAATGTGCTAAAAATAGAATGAATTCTAAAATATAAACAAATTCCATAATCATTGAGTAATGTTAAAAAGGTTCAAAATATGCACCTAAAATACAATCTAGTTATATAAATGTGTAATCTAAAAAAATACAGTTAAGGTAATAAACCTAGTAGTAGGACGCGTTCCTTATACTCGAGGCATTACGGTAAGGAAAGCCGCATTCGCTCTTGTGCCTTCTTGCTGGGACAGGCTCCTACCGGAGGGCTCGCCGCTTGACGCAGGTGTCCAGCTGGATGGATAACAGCAATATTTAATAGCCTTGTTTTTTATCTTAATTAATGAAACGCCGAACAACATTGTTTTTAAAAGATTTATTATAATAGCTTTATATCTTTGGTGGACACTTTTGTTCTTTTCGGACTGCAGAATCGGGTTCGTAAGGTTGGTCGGCTTCACTTTAATACTCATTTGCGAGTTACATTTACTGCTGTGATAAAAGCCAGTGTAATAAATTTTCATGCCAGATTTGGAGCATTTCAGATTTTCCTACAAAAACATGAATTCTTATGTCGGGGCAAACGTCGTTTTGCTACAGCAGCAGCATCAGAACCAAGTACCAATCCAGCCGGATTCGGGCCTTTTACCCGATCCGGGTTTTGGCTCTGCTGATCCCGGGTTCATCCTTGGTGACCATAACTCTGCGGGTCCGGATGGGTCATCTGTTCTCGACTTCGATTCTCTGCCCCAATCGGGGCTCCAGTACTTGCACCTTAGTAACTCCTTGTACCGCTTACCACCGCGTCCGCCCGCCGCAATGGCTCTGCGTAACGACTTGGGCTCCAACATCAGTGTTTTAAAGACACTCAATTTGCGTTTTCGCTGTTTTTTGGCTAAAGTGCATGAACTGGAGAGGCGAAACAAGACACTGGAGAATCAGCTGCAGCAGGCTTTGGAAAATAAAGGTGCTGATAGCGGAGGAGTAATGACGGGGCACGGGAGAAGGCCCGTGACCAAAGATGTTGGTGTTCAGACTGGCTTAATCGGGACAATCCCAGTTAGACCCGAATTGTTTCTTCAGAATGCAAATAACCCGGTTTACCGATCTGGAAGCTTGTTTATGCCTACAATTGGTTCTGTCTTCACGTATGATATCAACAACAAGGTGCCAAATGGAAACGCCAATGATGCTGCGGACTCAAACTCCAACCCAAGCCCCAACATCCCTGTGTGCCCGGGAACAGAGCACCAGGCCAGGATCATCTCCAACATCAATGAGACCAATGTCACTCACATGAGCACCGGCACAGGCCCGTCCGCAAACCCACCGCCCAGGTTCCTGCCTGGTACCATTTGGTCATACAACCACACGCGCAAGTTCGGCTCCGGCCTGGAGACGCGGCTCGCGGGACCCGGGGTGTCATGGGTGCACCCAGATGGGGTGGGAGTCCAGATTGACACCATCACCCCTGAGATACGGGCTCTGTACAACGTGCTGGCAAAAGTGAAGCGAGAAAGAGATGAATATAAGCGCAGGTAAGCTGTGAATTACTGCCGCTCCCTTTTCGCGTTTTCCAGCCTCCGGGCAGTGTTGTCGTCATCCTGTTCGCGATGCTAGCGGTAAGGGTGTTAAATGCTTTACAGAGGATATTTGTGCTGGAGTTAGCTTTTGGAAACGTGCCTGTTCTTTGTGGTTGGTGTCTTTGGCATGATCGTTATTAATCGTCATGCATCGAACATGAGAGTGCGCAAGTTCTGTTAGCAGCTGCGTTGTTCACATTGCTCGGTGGATTACTTACACAACCGAAATGCTATAAATCAAAACTGGAGCAGATTCAGAAATGATGATGATAAGGAAAAGGACACCGTGAAAATATTTTCCTAATCCCAAATCACTGGCTTAGTCTTAACCTTTAAGTTTATCTGGCTGTCTGTGAATGGTGAGTAGTTCGTAGGATTATTTCAGAAACACAGGTGGTACTCTGGCCGCCAGTGTCTTCCTCCTGAACATGCAGAGTGTGAGGTTATTGCCAGGTCCTTGGCTGAATGTTCATAATTGTGCAGTGAAATCTTGTTCTCAATATACATTCCATATCACTGAGCTGGTTGTGGGTATTTTGAAGAGATTTTGACTGATTTATTTACTAATGGTTCCATTTTAATAATTTCATGTCTTTTCAAATCTGAGCCAAGGACATTGTTTTATTTAGACTTGAGATTCCAGTTTAATACCCCTTAGTAGTTCCTGCATGAGCTCACCATTGTGTTTTGTCCAGGTAAACCTTTAACATTTTGCTTACATACTCAGACACAGAGCCATTATCTGACTGCTAAGCACTCACCCCCTTAATTAGCCACTTTATATTCTATGTCCTTATGCCTCCATTAGAATAAAGAAGTGCGGTAAAGGTGCAAGTCCTTCAACAAAGCCTTGGTAGACGGCGTATTTTGTAATGGCAGATGCAGTGTCAGTAACGCAGGCGCTCGTCTCTCTCTGGCTGTTTTGCTCCTGATGTCCTTGCATAGTCGCCTCCCCCCTGCCCCCCGCGCTCACTTTGTCATGTTAGTATCTGCAATGCAGTACAATATCCAGGCAGTCATTTCTAGCAGAGTGACGGGAATGATTTACCAGTGTCTGCTCTCACTCTCAGTTATTTCCTTTAGATTTTTCAGGCCTGTTATATAGCAGCTGGCTGTGTGAATCAGCTCAGCACAGTGTGTGGATGTTCCATAACACACTATGTGCATGGCAGGCCTGCATCCACCTGGCATGTGTGTCAGCATGCAGAGTATGTGCTATAGTGCTCTGTGTGCATGGCAGGCCTGCATCCACCAGGCACTTGTGTCAGGGTGCAGATGTGCCGCAATGCTCTGTGTGCACGGCAGGCCTGCATCCACCTGGCACGTGTGTCAGCGTGTGGATGTTTAGTAACGCTTTGTGTGCGTGACAGGCCTGCAGCCACCTGGGATTTTGTGTCAGCGTGTGGATGTTTAGTAACGCTTTGTGTGCGTGACAGGCCTGCATCCACCTGGCATTTGTGTCAGCGTGTGGATGTTTAGTAACGTTTGTGTGCGTGACAGGCCTGCATCCACCTAGCATGTGGGTCAGCGTATGAATATGCCATAATGCTCTATGTGCATGGCAGTCCTGAATCTGCCAGGGACGTGTGCCAGCATGCGGATGTGCCATAAAGCTATGTGTGCACGGCAGGCCTGCATCCGTCTGGCATATGTGACAAACCTTTTTTGATGGCTGCTTCACCTGGCCTAAGGTTTTCTTTCTTTTCGATTATGGAAAAGAAAATGGCAGCCAGGTGCTGCAGTCTTACAGATAAAGTGACAAAGGTGTATGTGTGAAAAGCCATGACAGTGACCGTGTCACCCCTAGATGGGAGGAGGAATATACAGTCAGGATGGACTTTCAGGAGAAGGTGGCTGAGCTGGAGGAGGTAAACTGCACCTGGGCATCCGTCCGTCCATCCATCCATCCATCCATCCATCCATCCATCTGTCCATCCGTCTATCTGTCTGTCTATCTGTCCATATATGTAAGTGTGTATGTAGTAGGTTTTTGTTCATTAATATCAATGCGGTGTCTCCATGTCTGACAGTGTTCTGCTGATTGTAGGCTTTGCATGCATAAAGGTGTGTGACATCCCTGTGGCTCGTGAAGCATGCCCCGGCCTGTGCGCTAGCCTGTGCGCAAGCCTGTGCGCTAGCCTGTGCGCTAGCCTGGGCTTGGTGTGCATCCTAAGCCGTGGTGCTTTGCGCACTGTGCTTTCCCTTGTGCAGGAGCTCCAGGAGAGCGAGGTGTGCCAGGATGAGCTGGAGCTCAGGGTGAAGCAGCTGAAGGCCGAGCTGGTCCTCTTCAAGGGCCTCATGAGCAACGTGAGCGGCCTGTCCTCCATGCCGTCGATCCCGGCCTCGGGAGCCTGCTGCTCCGGCATGTTCCTGCCGATACTGTGCTGCATGTACGCTGTGCTGCTGTCTGAACCCTGTGCCCATCTCTGCCTGTGCCAGGACCTGTCAGAGCTCGACAGTAAGATCCAGGAGAAGGCCATGAAAGTGGACATGGACATCTGTCGCAGGATTGACATCACCGCCCGTCTCTGTGATGTGGCCCAGCAGCGCAACTGTGAGGACGTGATACAGATTTTCCAGGTGCGCCATCCCTCTCTTCCCCAGGCCTCGCCAAAAGCGCAAAAGCTGCTGACGCCGTTTCTTGCCCCGTCACGAATTGACTCGCTGACGGCTTTTCTCAGGGCCAGGATTATAAATGGCTGCTTCTTCGTTTAGAGGGTTAATATGGTCGCATTAATATGACCTGTTTTCAGTCTGGAACCTTTGTTCTTCGCTGTCCTCTTTGGTAAATGCTGGATTTTTTCCCCATCCTGTTATCTTGGTTTATAACATTACATCTGCTGGGAAAAATGATTTGTGGATCCTTATAAAGTAAATATTAATGTTGTCTTTTGATGTTATCCTTTCTGTGATTCCTGACGCCCCCAGTACGCCCGTGGCTTCTGCCCCAGTACGCCTATGACCATTCCGCAGTACACCCATAACCACTCCCCAGTGTGTCCATGAGCGCTGCCCAGGATGCCCACGACTACTCCCCAGTAAAGCTGTTGGTTCCTTCCCAGGTGCCCACGCCTCCATCCACTCTGGGCCGCCGCCCTCGCAAGCAGGCCCAGCAGCCTTCCTCCACCAATGAGGCAGATGATCCCACCAGCATGTCTGAGGGCGACGGCGGCGGCGGCACTAAGGAGGAGGAGATGTGTGGCTCTTCAACCAATCAGATCAATGAGGAAGTGCAGAGGATGCTCAATCAGCTGTGAGTGTCAGTCTGCAGAATGGAAAGGTCACATCAATATGAAAACAGAAATTTGCTTTTAGTTTTCTGACATAATTGGATGTTTTGGCCCGATAAACTCATCAGTTGGTCTTTGTCATAAATTCCAAAAGAAGCCCTTAAATATCTTGGTGTAATATATTTCCTCTCTGTTAATATTGTCCATATGTTTTTAGATTTGTTAGTATATTTAGGGTCTTAACTCAGAAATAATGTTTGTTTATAGTCTTTAATGAAAAGCTTGATTACCTGCAACACGTCAGGGCCTGTGATTGGTTCGTTAAACATGGGAGGGTCATGTAATCGGCCACATGACAGGTTTTAAATTCTATATGTTCCTGTTCAGTATGTGTTGTAAGTCATGAGCTGTTAAATTTACAAGGAGTTCCTGGTTGTAACTCAACAGGAACATATAAATTCCTAAATACAATATTATGGCATTGTATTGACATTTATTTATTGATGTATTTATTTATTTACTTGAAAATGACCTTAATTGCACTGTGTTCACCATTTTAATGAAGGCAATGAGTATTACAGAGAACATAGGATTTTTTTCTGGGTTCTTTCATCCTCTTAAACTGCAGCTTTGTGAAAGCAGTATATCATTTTACTCTACTCACCTGTATTCCTGTTGGTTCCTGTTCTTTGTGGAACATGATACGCGTCCAGGTCTCATCAGGGGCTCTATTTCTTTCCAGGAGGGAATGTGAGTTTGAGGATGACTGTGACAGCCTGGCCTGGGAGGAGACAGAGGAGACCCTGCTCCTCTGGGAGGATTTCCCCGGCTACGCCCTCGGGGCTGACCTGCAGGGGGAGGTACGTCAGTCCCGTCCACAGCAGTCGCCTTGCGGGGAATCTGGCTGCCTGTGGCTTCTGCTCCTGAGCCTTGTATATAACCCCTGTGTGTCTTCTTGTAAATGGCTGCTGTGTATCCAGTTTTCCCTGTGGCTCTTACCTGTGTTGTTCTCCGTAGAGATGCACCGATCGAACAGCCAGGTACCAGAATTGGCTAACTTTCTGTGTACCCAGCCCGGTTTGATTATTAAACATATACTAGATAATCTTGAAAAGGAGTAATCATTAAAATAGCTAGCTAAGGTTTTTTTTTCCTATGACATAGTAAAAATGTTTTGGCGAAACTTTAACCCCCTGCGCTATAACGTCCATACAGTATGAAGGTATGAAAAAGCCTGATCGTAATCTAGCTCACTAACGATGTAAGAACTGTATGTGCATAAGATGCGATGTTGGTATTAATAATATCACCCTGCACCTATTATTTGGAATAGAATAGTAGACTTCAGTTATTTGGAGGTTTGTAACCTACAGTATGTGCTTTTTTATTTTAAGGCGAGTAAAAAAAAGACAAAAGTTCAAAGTTGTGCTATCTGGTGAATTTAAACATACTGGAAAATGATAAGTAACTGACATTTGTTTTGTTATTTTAATCTGTTGCAGCTGCTCTTGTTTGGTAACGTCAAACATGTCAGATAAAGCTGGATGTACAGCAGCTCATTTTCAGTTAAATGTTATTTGTACCTCTTTCCAGTCACAGGGCACTTTATTAAGAGACTTAAGTGAGAGAAGATCCTGTAACTTAGTGCAGTCTAGGGGAAATTGTAAAATTTAATTCTTTTTATTATGAAAATTTTGTATTGAGGAAAAGTTTATTTTTGTTTGTATATGCTGTTAATTGTAGTTCTTAGAAAATCGGAATCTGCAGAAATCGGTATCGGCAGGTCACTTGGGAAAAAGATAAGAAATTGGAATCGGCAAAGAAAATTGCAATCGGTGCATCTCTGGTACTCGGTCCTCACCTGATGTTCTTCTGTCTCTTTGTAATGTCTAGTTACTCACTGTGTGTGAGACCTACCCTGTGCCACCGTTAAGCATGTCGGACTTGCGGCTGCCATTGCCTGTGCGGCCCTTTAAGGGCTGTTATTGAAGAGCAGGCCTGTTTGAGGCCTATCTTCTTTCTGCTGCTGCGATGCCTCAGTCTGCTCAGAGCTACAATATTATACAATATAATCATCAGTTCTACTTACTTCTCCTTAGGTGTGTGATAAATCAGAACAGGCTGTTTGTGCTTCTGTTAATAAGTTATTAAAATACTGATTTATTTTATATATTTATATAAACTTGGCAGTTTTATTTTGGAATGGTTTTGGGAGAGCACTGTTGAATATATTAATCATTTATACACTTTTTATTTTTCAACATTTTCAAATACAGAAATATTGAACTAGTTATTAGTTTGTCTTGACAATTTTGGTTATATTTTTATTAAAAGATCTTTAAATGGACTGGAGAGACTGACTGTCATTCTACACAGGAATCCACATGGTTTTGATGGGACAGCTGATACTCATGTTTCCTTCATTTGAAATGTTATGACTGTAATGCAAATTATTTGTGCCAATTTTAAACACTGACAAACTAGGTTTAAATATTGAAATATTGATAAATATTTTAGCTTTGCATCCATCAAGTGAATTCTTCATATATTTGTGTTAAATTATTTCTCTCTCTCAGCTCTGTAATTTATCATGACAGGTCATCCCCAAAAATAGGCATTAATTTGAAGGGATCTTGTCTGGCCGGTTCCTGTTTCAGGGAGACGAGCCGATTGGATTTATGCCGTTCAGACTCTAAGAATTGTGTGGTCTGGAAATGGATCACTGATCAGAAACATGCAGTATCTGTATTCTGGAAGCAGAGAGCACCAGTGACACATCCAGTTCAGAAATCCATTGGAACTTGTTTTTTTTAATTTTCTTTCTTTTAGCAAGAGGAATCCATTGAAAAAGTGATAAAGGACACAGAATCACTCTTCAAGTCCAGAGAGCGAGAATATCAGGAGACTATAGACCAGATTGAAGTAAGAGCCTCTTGTTCTGTGTTTTAATGGATTGCTGTGGGTGTCATTGAAAGGCTTTGCGTTTGTCAAAGTATTCCTATGAACCAGCATGTGCAACAGTTATCACTGGACACCTTCTGCAACAGGTAGTGGTTTGGCATCTGGTTTTCATATTTATTTTTGTCAATAAATTTGACTTAATGCTGGAAAAAGCCATGGATGTCTAAAAATTGTAACATACTGTAATGATAACGTGTCATAGTTTTTATTCTGAAATGTTTGGCCTACAAACTCGTATGCTGTGTTCCATTTACCTTGGCGGTCGGAGGTCTGGGCTGGAAGTGGCATCACACCCGAGTTAACCGTGTTCACACCCGAGTTAACCGCGTTCACACCCGAGTTAACCGCGTTTCAGTGCAGCAAGTCGGACAGCCATTTAGCAATACCAGGGATCTGTGTCCAAAAGCAGGATTTCTTGCTTAGCCGGGCTAAACAAGAAATCTAGCTTTCTGAAACGGCACAGTACTGTGTGTACGGCTAATTAATGAGCCACAAATAAAACGTAAGTACCAATTAAACAGTTAATAACTACAGCTTTCACTTCAGTTGATAAAGGGTGCAGCCATCTTGAATTCTGAGGTTGGGTTTGTGCGGATTCCTCCAACTTCACAAGTCAGAATTCCGACTTTAGGAATTCCAATTGAAATTCCTACTTCTCAGTTTAAATGGAAGAGAGCATTAGATGATGTCACAGCCTGCTGGATTGGTTATGACAGCTGACTGTGGTGGGGGTGGTGTCTCTCATGGGTTAGATGTGGGTTGCATACGTCTCTGGCAGCTTCTATCTTTCCAATCTGTCTCCATACATTAACAAAACGGACGAGCTCAGACACTTCTCTTTGGCCCTTTGTCTCATGGGAATATGGCCACAGACCTTAATTCTCATCACTGGTTTTAATGGGATATTATATTATATTATATTACTGAGCTGCCTGTGATGCAGGGTGGTCAGCTCTCACAGAGACTCGCACTTTCAGACACACGATCGCACAAGAAATCTTACGGCAAATCTGTATTATTCCATTTTAAACCTAAAATTAGCTACATCAAAAGTATTGGGGTAGTTTGCAAACACACTATATATATATGGTAATAAAACCATTACTTACATGTAAATACGTGTGCATGTGTTTGCAGACTTCTCTCGATTTGAAAATGTGGCGCTGGCCAGCTGACACTCTGGTGATGTGGTCTAGAGCAGATCACCAAAGTGACCACATTTTGGTGACCTGCTCTTTGTCAGTAGTGAGTGGTGCATTAATGCTCCTTTTCTTTCTGGATGCCGTTCTCCTCCTCTGCTGTAATCTGGGATTAATAAAGCAGTTTGCATCTTATGTGTAGAGCAGGTCTATCTGTCCTGCAGGTGCCGGCTGATGTAATTGCTGATGTAAAGTTATTTTAGTCATCTGTCTAGATAACATCATAGGAAACTTCAAACATACAAGGCTTAGACAAACTTATTTTAGGAAAATTTTATTAACGGATGACTAGTCCAGATTGCAGCTCAGAGTGAAGGCATTGAGTTGAAAATGGTAAAAAACACAAGAAATGAGTTGTTTTACACTGGAAATTGGTAACTGAAATCTGTACACTCATTACTAAATTTGGTGCCTGTAACACATTCCAGGAATAACAGGAGACTGGGAATGCGGCCCTCTGCTGCCCTCTGCTGGTGGGGCAGTTTCACCTCCATGCACGGAAGTTCACGCTCTCCCCTTGTCTCTTTCCCAGCTGGAGCTGGCCACAGCCAAGTCAGACATGAACCGGCATCTGCACGAGTACATGGAGATGTGCTCCATGAAGCGGGGCTTGGACGTGCAGATGGAGACATGCAGAAGGCTAATCACGCAGACGGGGGACCGGTAAGGACCCCCCCCCCCCCCCCACTCATTCTGCTGTCCCACTGGGGACGTCCCTGTCACTGTCCTCAGGGCTTCCAGTGAAATAAAGTAGTCAACACATTGCCTGTCTGTGAACTGTGGCTGGATGGCGGAGTAGGCAGAGGAAGCCATGGGCCCTGCCGTGTTTCAGCCACCGGGCGGCAGCACTGATGCCCGCTGAGCTCCCATGCCGGCCTCATTAAGGACTTCGTTATTTTTCTCCCATCTCCCATCTTGTCACACAGTGGGATAACAGGCTTCAGGTTTCCACCTCATTTTCTTGAATGTATCGTGTTTTCGTTGAGTGTTAGTAGAACCCCCAGCTACTTTGAGACCAGGTCTCTGTGCTTCCACTTGCAGAAAATCCCCCTCGTTCACCACTGCGCCGTCCGAAGAAAGCGAGGAGCCGGAGAGGAAGAAGTCTTCTGCCCCCGAGCTGGGGAGATAGCGGCCGCTTTTCACGTGGGAGCCTGGGAAGAGCGTGTGACGGCAGAGACCATCTTTAGGGAACCATCATTTATACGTTTACCATGTAATATCCTCTAATTGGCTTCATATCTTTTGGGTGTCTGCCTTTTGGTGGAACACAATTTTATTACACCATTTTAAAGCTCTTGTTTCATATGAACGTTAATGAACTACCAAAGTTCAGTGATGTTTTTGTAAAAGCACTTATTTTTGCTATTCTGCCCACAGCACCGCACTCCTGTTTCCTGATGCCATTTCTGGCATGTAAATTACATTTATGTAGCAGACTCTTTTGTCCAAAGCAACCGAGACGTGAGGAAGCATGAGGGTGAGATCACAGGCTCAGCCAGCGGTCGGGGCCCCGCAGTTCCTGGGGCCAAGGGCCCTTGCCCAGGGGCCCGTTACTCTGCCGGTCGCAGTCCCAGCCAATCACATGGGAACAGATCCCGAGCCGCACTCTGGCTGAAATGATGTAATTAACATCCAATCGTATTCTGCCCTCTCTCTTCACTATTCTTAGCTCAAACAACAGAGATGGCATTAAGTACAGGGCATCTAGGAAGGAGTCATGTCATTTAAGTTCAGAAGTGGAAAATACCTCATTTATTCACATTTAATGTTAGTTGAAAAGTGTGAAGTGTAGAACGTTGCCTGAGATTTTGTAGATGGCACAGAAAATGCACATTCGTAATGACATCCTGAAATTTAATTTGTGGCAAGCAGGACATTTATTCTTTTAAACTTGAAAAAAGAAGCAAAGGTTTATTTAGGGTTTAATATACAGTGGTACCTCAGTTCTCGAACTCATTAGAACTCGAATTTCTTAAAAGTCGAACCAACCAGTTCTAAAAAAAAATTTACCTAGAACTGAATCTGAGAAGTCGAACCGTGAACGCCGACTTGTACGCAGACTAAATACAGAGGACTAATGACAACAACCAGAAACAGCTGATCACACAGGGATTATACATGAGGTTAACGAGGGGGTGTGGCACACGGAAAGAGCGGACGATCGGAGCAGGACACGTTTTTTTTTTTTTAACTTTATACATTGTTTGGATACATTTATTTTCTTACTTTACAAATTACTGTTTTGATAAATGTGCTTAGATGTGTTTAGTACAGTATATGCTCTTCTTGTTTTATCCTGTTCATTTTGTGTTTAAATGCTAAAAAATATATATCTCGGTGTAATTTTTTGGGGCCGGGAACCAATTAATTGTTTCTCCATGATTTCTTATGGGGAAAATTCGATCAGAACTCAAACTTTTTAGGATTTGATCTGGAGTTCTGAACAGATTAAGTTCGAGTTCTGAGGTACCACTGTAATTGGTAAATATACATTTAATATTTTGCTGCAGATCGGCAAACCGGTCACTCCCTTCACACCAAACTGACGCTTCTGAATTTAAAGTATCGGCAAGTTCAAAATATGGTGACAGGGGGTTTTAATTTTTAGTTCATCCAAGGCTGTTGGAGAATATAAATACTAAAATATGCTTTGGGTTACATGTACAGTCAGTTCTGCTACAAGGCGAGTAATGCTTTCCTGAAAAACCTCGCGTTCACCAAAATTGCGTAGTAAAATACACATATCCAAAGGGAAAAATGCGGTAGGGCAATGTGACTCCAAAACTTAGTAACTTATGCCAAACTAAATTAATTAAATAAAAACAGTGATATTTATGGCCAGTAAAGTAATTTTATGCATTTAAAATGACATAATATTAATAAAACATGAATAGATTAGGTAATAAACATCTTCTATGGGTCTTATGAGTCTCAGGGGAATTGCCCAGTAACTGTTTCAACCAAACTTCTTACTTTCGGATTACTGAAAGTCGAGAAGCAGTGATAGCCAAAATGACGCTTTATGAACCATTTGCTGTATTTTCTGACCCCACTAGATGGTGCTCTTGCTTTACTCTGGGGCAAACTTTGAACCTTTTTTTAAACCGACACTATCTAGTGGGGTTAGAAAAGACAGCAATCATGAAGCGTAATTTTGGTCATCATCAGTCAGGAGTAGTGAACTAAAGCCACCATACCGCAGGGCAAACACACAGCACAAATACAACGGATTACGGTATGCAGGGGGTACTGAAGGCAACAGGGCTACAGACAGTCTACGAAAAACAAGCGAATTTAAAAAGGTTGCTTTGTGTTTTTATATGATAATTTGTCAAACATTTTTAGACTTTTAGAATCTAAGACTGACCTGTGCAATGCATGCATGTATAAAAAGTTTGATCTTTTTAGATTTGAAAACCAGTTTGACTAATTTAATGAAAAGAATCGTTTCAAAAGAATCCTTCCTTCCGGAATCGGACCGCTATCATTCACTTGGATAGCTGTCTTTGCGCGCAAGTAGTGTTTCTCGTTAGGTGCATATGGCATTGTGGTTCACGTAGAGCTTTTCTCTCCGGCTGAAAATCGTGCAAATACAAATGCAGTTCTGTGGTGTATTGGACTTGCGTCCTAATATATCAGCTGCGTTAGAACAGACTCATGGCGTGATACGACGCAGTGTAGCAGGGCTGACTGTCATTACTGGGCAGCATGCCATTTAGTGCTGCTAAACAATGTAGATACTCCTGCTTGGTGAATGACATGGCCCTCCGCCCTCTGCGTCGCTGGGTCCTGGCCTCACACTGGCGTTACCAGGGAAACCGGATGCTAAAGGCTGGCTTCATGGTGATGTAATCTGTGAGTAGGCTTTAGTGACCAGATGCAATAGTGACCAGATGCAAGGCAAACTGCTATCTCAGTGTTACCACTGCTAACATTAGACATCTGTAGGATCATTTATGTTATAACATCAGTAATAACTGATGATATAACTATCAAAATATATTTTATTTGATCCTCATTTGCTTGTATAGTGCCCTTTCAGAACAAAAATACACTGGAATATGTATGTTGTAACAGTAGGAGTTGGCATTTAAATAATTCTGTAAAGGCTATTTAGATACAAATGTTAAAAGTTTGAGAGAAAATGCACTAAGGGAAAGATGCTTCAAATGTAAGAGATCATTCCTTTGCTGTACTGCACATATAGCATTGCTGACTTTGCGTGTGTCTGTGTGTGTAAGGAGCCATGGAACTTTATGAATACATGAAATAAGCACTTTACTCATTTTCAGCGAGTCCAAAATACACATGCAGTGTGGTATATACTTTCATTAGTTCTGATCCAGGCTTGCGGGATTTTGCATGTTACCAGTAAGATATTTTGGCATTTGGTGTGTTACGTATTTCACTGAATACATCTTAATTCAGTGATATCATGTGTGAACTTGTTTTAAATTCTAACTTATGTGTAAACTGTAAACGTAAATCTTTTGCTGTATACATTATCTGCTCCTTTGCTAAAGTACAGACTATGTTTTGCTGTTACTTCGGAGTGACATGCTTAGTGCAGTGTCTCTCTGTGCTAATCTATATGGGGACAGATGAGAGCGGAAGGAAATTTATGCTTAGTCAGCTTTATGTATGTGCCAACCGTCATATATACAATGCTGCTTGTTCTTCCTTGCGTTTTTGCTATACCTCTGGAAGGGGAATACGGCCTACAGAATAAAGGATGACCAGACCAGTAATGTACTGTGTGTATTTATACGTACTTTGGTTTGACTATAAAGCTGATCTGCTACACACATTAGCTTACATGTACTACCCTAACCTCAATCCACACAGCTGACTTGGCAGTGAACTAAGCAGAGAGGGTAAAAAAACCTGTAAACTCCATTATCCGTCTATCATTCAGTTGCTTATCTAGTACAGGCTTTCATATCTCAGGAAGCGCAGGGTACAGAGGAAAGCGCACTAGAGATGTAACATGGAGATACCAGTTACCTCACATCTTCGCAGGAGATGCTGGTGTCTCCAGCCCAGAAGGTTCTGGCAGCCCTGCAGCTCACCGACCCACCGCAGTGTGGGGCTAAAACAAATTTCAAAAGGAAGAGGACTTTCATTCAACTAATTTTTTTGCACCGTATGAAAAACATCTGCGCCGAATGGACTGCGGCATAACATGACGACATTAAACCTAATTTAAGAAATGTTTGATGGGAAGAATATTTTAAACAAGGTACTTATACTACTTTATTTTTGTTTGTTGCTGTGGTTGTTGTCTGTCTTTTCATCCATTGGTAATAACACATAAAGAGACATACAGTAAGATGGTGAAACCTTAGCTTTGAATTATATGATGTACAGCACATAATTTTTACTGATAAAAAAAGTCATTCTCATTACTTAATTCGCTAGGGTGCTGCCCTTTATGTGACTACACACCTTTTTGTCATTATGAATGACTTGTGATCATGAGTATATGGGTACAGTTTTGATGCCCTGTGCCCTGTATTTGTCTCAGATCCACAGATCTTTAAGGTGTGTTGACTTCACCAACCAGGAATGATGGTTTACTGCCCACTTGTCCACGTGCTATTTTGCTACATTTTTTATATATTCCATTTCAGCTAATGCACCTTTTTTGAATGACTGTTACATTTATATAGCGCTTTTCAAGACACCCAAAGCACTTTACAGAACCAATGAGGAGCCACTTCAACCACCACTGCTGTGTAGCCCCCACCTGGATGATGCGACAGCAGCCATTCTGCACCAGTATGCTCACCACAGAGTAGCTAAGGTGGTGAAGGGGCAGGAGGGAATTCACCAGTTAGATATAGGGGATGATTAGGAGGCCAGATTTGATAGGGGCCACAGTGTACAGTTTTAGGCCTGGACATGGGGGTACCACCCCTACTCTTTCGAAAGGTACCCAGCGATATTTTATGACCTGAGATAGTCAGGACTGCGGTTTTATGTCTCACCTGAAGGACAGCACCATTTTTATAGCGCAGTGCCCCCATCACTGGATTGAGGAATTGGGACCCACACAGACCACAGGATGCGCTAACCTGTTGGCCACAGTGTCCCAGTCACTGAACTGAGACATTGGGATCCATACAGACAGCAGGATGGGCTTCCCTGTTGGTCACAGTGTCCCCATCACTGCACTGGGGCACTGGGACCCACACAGACCACAGGATGCGCTAACCTGTTGGTCACACCAACACCTCGTCCAGCAGTAACCCAGCTTTCCTAGTTGGACTCCCAACGAAGTGCTGGCCAGGCCCAAACCTGCTTAGCTTCAGGTGGAGTACCTGGTCTGAACTGCAGCTATTATGGCTGTTGACTTCTTTATACCGTGGGACAATGAAAAAAATGACAATTCAGGGTGTGTTTTTTACTATTATAAGTAAGCTGTAGTTGGTTAGGAAGCTCAAACAACCGCAAATTCACCCACTAACCTGTATTCCAGCAGGTTCTATCTCTCAACTACTGTTAATATGCTCCATCTGGATATCACTGATCACACTTTCTTAGTTGCTTCCTCAAATCAGCCTTGTATAATTCCATAACAGGCAATAGAAAGACACTGTTTTGTTCACCCCCGTTTCTAAATGGTCACTCTTCTTATTTCCTTTTACTGTGGCTCCCACCTTGCCCTTCCCAAAATAGTATCCGTCACTGATTCTGATCGCCTACTTCTTCAAAACTATATATATTTTTTTTCATCATCTCGATATAGTTTATATAGCTTAATTTAAATATATCTCGAAATTTGAATTAAAAGACACGTTTCTCTGGGTTGAGAAACAGCTGCGTGCTGCGGGATAAGCGTCGCCTATGCAGGCGGGTATTGCGGCACTCTCCGCGGACTCGCGCATCGGCGCGTTTCACGTTGTTACGCATCTGCGCAGTTATTTAACCGAATTGTGAAACATGCAGTAATTGAGCCAATCGTTTGACTGGAAACGTCTCTCGGATTTTACTCTCATGGTTCAGAGCATCTGGCACAGTTTCACACTGTCTGTCTCTAAGCCCTGTTTTTGCACGCTGCCCCCCTCCCTGCTCCCTGCCTTTTCATTCATTCCGGGATCGTCCTGCTAGTGACTCATTCTTTCAGGGCAGCTGCAAAGAAGATGTGAGTAAACGATATTTGTTTCATGTTAAAATATACAAGATACTGTAACCATTTCCATTTCAGATAAAATATTTCGCTTACTCATCATCTGAATTTCCTTGTTGGGTACAAATATGAAATATATCGCCTAATCATACAAAGATTAAATGTTTCCTTTCTATATTGTGCTATATGGAGGCTATATAACGTAAGCCAGAATTCTGTGCAGTAGTTTATTTTGTGGTATTTGTGAAGCTGGATGTGCATGTCGGCCACATAACTATCCCAGTAAATTCCATTTGTTTCTCTGTCGGGGCAGGCAGATATATCTGTACAGTTAAACAGCTGATGTTTAACGATTTTTAAATTATAAGAACACGAGATTGATTTATTCTTTATTCCTACCTTACTTTGATACTTTTAATACGTTGTCGTATTTCGTATCAGCTTTATTTCTCTTGCATGTATTTTTGCAGCCCTAATACCCAAACAGTGAAAGATCAGACTGCTCTGCTGCAAAAGGCAAATCCCGTATTCATTTTTCACCAGTGAACAGACGCATCTTTCTCTTTGTGTTTATTGAGAATGTATGACCTACCAATACCAGCCGAGTTGGTACCAATACCAATATACAGTACTAGCCACCCAGCTGCCTCCATAGGTCTGATCCCGATGCAAACCATCCTGGCGGAGCCCCCGAGGGCGAAGGCGGCCCACCAGCGCCGCCACCCAACCAGACCAGTAACCGCAGGCTACAGCAAAGCCAGGCTCAAGTAGACGAGGTAAAACTACTGAAGACGAAGGCCATAGAAACGTCGATCTCCCGTCCCGATCTGTGTACTGCTGCTGTTCAGCGGAAATGAAATGAAATCCTATCACCTGCCCCGTGGACAGGTGGTGGACATCATGCGTGTCAATGTGGAGAAGGTCCTGGACAGAGATCAGAAGCTCTCCGAGCTGGACGACCGGGCCGACGCGCTGCAGGCGGGCGCCTCGCAGTTTGAGAGCAGCGCTGCCAAGCTGAAGAATAAGTACTGGTGGAAGAACTGTAAGGTCTGTCCGTACGGAGGGCAACAGGCAGCGCCACAGCGTCATTCGGATATCTAATTGTATATATGGCCTAGTTTATTCTTACTGTACGTATTTGAATTACAAACAATTAATTTACGGCGCTCATAGACATACTGTAGAACTGACGTCACTGACCGGACTGGGGAAGTATACTCTGACGCGGACTTAAATACAAAACAGCAATCAACATGACTCGAAACAGCTGGTAACACGGGGATGGCACACGGGGTAGATGAGGGGGCGTGGCACACGGGATGATCGGCACGACCGGGGTATGACAATCCAGATCAGGCTTGTAGGGACAGAACATGGTAATTAAGAATGTGCAATGTCTTGGTCTTGGTAGAGTTTTTTTAAAATCAGTGCCTTATTAATGACACCAGTAGTTTAATAAACGAACATAGTTATACAATAAATGCAGTGCAGTTTATTGCAGATTTAGGCATGAATTGCTGTCTCTGATTCACTCTTCTTGTGTGATTGTGTCACCATCAGTTTGAGCGGTCAGTGAGCAAATCCTTACTCAGCAGAAAGTAACACAGAAGGGAATACCGATGATCTGTCTGAGTGAACATCTGCTGTTTCATCTCAATTTGGTGACATGCTGGCATCTTTCTCCCCGCAGATGATGATCATGATGGCCATCATAGGCATCATCGTGGTTGGGATCCTATTCAGTGAGTATATTACGTAGTTCCGCGTTCCGTAAGAGAAGCTTCTGTAACCCCTCCCTCCACAAGCACTCGTATGTTGCACATCAACCCGACTTCTCTGATGACGTTATAACTCAAAAATGCTAGCAGTGATATACAAATTAGTGCTTTGCTAATGGAGGTAGAGGTTAACAGCAGAGGATTGGCAGCCATTTTGTCAGTACAAATCAATATTTTTGTCCTTCTCAAATATCCTGCATTACTATGGGTTACATGTACATCCTACACCACTGGTTGTGACTCATTTTTTCTATCATTGACCGATATTAGACCCAACAAAACATACTGTTACAAACTGTGTAATTACCAGACCATCTCAAGCATGGAAATAGGCAACACCAGAGACCATCAGGCCTGAACTGAATTACCACTACATTACATTCTACTATGTATATAGTGTAAAAGCAAAACAGGGGCATCTTTTTGGCACATTTTTCTCCAGGGAGACCTAGATTCCATCCATCAATTTTCTGTACCTTCCTCAACAAAAAATATGTCTTGTTTTCAAGCTCTCCAGTGGTTTCAAAGCCAGAAAGGTATTTGTGAACTGGAATTCCAATATTTCAAGCCAAGGAAAAAAGCCAGCTATGGTACTTCCGCACCAATACTTGCATATCAGCTGGTGTTCACCTTCGTCTGGTTGGTTCATGTGCTTGTTTTTATATTCCCGCTTTGGGATGCCTTACACCACGGCACTAACGTGGTAAGCGGAAGTATTGGAGCAGAAACCACTGAATTGGGGACGGATGGAATATCTTGGAAAAACGGTTTTAATCATTCAGTTTAACATGGCAATGAAGCTGAAGCATTTAACAGAATCCTTGTGGCTTGTAAGCAGCCCTGACTGCTGTCTGCCCAGTGTCTGACTGGTGTCTGCCCAGTGCCCGACTGCTGTCTGCCTGGTGTCTGACTGGTGTCTGCCCGGTGCCCGACTGGTGTCTGCCCGGTGCCCGACTGGTGTCTGCCCGGTGCCCGACTGGTGTCTGGCCGGTGCCCGACTGCTGTCTGCCCGGTGTCTGACTGGTGTCTGCCTGGTGCCCGACTGCTGTCTGCCCAGTGTCTGACTGGTGTCTAGCTGGTGCCTGACTGGTGTCTGCCCAGTGTCTGACTGGTGTCTAGCTGGTGCCTGACTGGCGTCTGCCCAGTGTCTGACTGGTGTCTGCCCAGTGTCTGACTGGTGTCTGCCCGGTGCCCGACTGGTGTCTGCCCGGTGCCCGACTGCTGTCTGCCCAGTGTCTGACTGGTGTCTGACCAGTGTCTCTTCTCTTCACTGCCCCCCCCACTCTGCCCCATCAGTGTACTTCTTCTACTGAGCTGGACTCAGCTGGAAGGAGACGCATTTTTGGGAGAAAGCAGCCAAATGTGCTCCTGCACCTCCTCGCTTAGTGCGCCTCCATCGCCACGCCTCCGGCACACATGCACGGCACTGTGGGGGGGTGCGGCAGGAGGAGAGGGGCCCCACAGCAGAATTGCTGCAGCTCTGCATCCCCTCGGTCTCATTACCTCTCCTTTCATATTTTCCTGGTTATGCTTTACATTAGCTGTACCTTCATAGAGCATTCATAAGCAGCATGTGAGTCAGAGCATCACATTCATAGCACTTCTAATGAACAAGACATGACAGCTGTAAGACACATTAATAATTAATGTTATAATCATATAATAAAGTGTATTAAAGCTGTTAAGGTATGTTAGGATGGTAAGGTATATTTAGCTGCTGCTTATGAATGTTCTATAAATGCATTATGAAGGCGTACTGAATGTTCTATGAATGCATTATGGAGGCATTATGAAGGTGCAGTTACATGTATAGCATCACCATCTTTTCAATGTGTCATTTATGCCAGCAGCTGAAAAATGCACCGTTGGGGATTCCTGCGTAATAGCAGCATTATTTTCCAGTTGCAGCTTACAGTACTACCAGTAAAAATGACTGTGAGGATATTTATTGCTGAAGTTTTCTTGTGACCATAAATAATGCACTTGTATGCCTTGCTGGTTTGTTGGCCTCCACTATTTCTGTTTTCTGCATCCGGGGGTAACGGCGGAAACAGACGTGACCAGGAATGTGGCAGATTCAGCTTCTTTTTTTCTGTGTCATTGTCAGAAAGAGAACAATTTTGCAGTCTTATGGTTTGATTGAAATACATTGTGATTATTAAACTTGCTTTTTTCACTATGCAGTTTACATACATTAAACCACATCCCGTTATCCTAAAGCAGTATGACAATGATACATCGTTCTGACTCATCTGTATATTATTTTTTAAGAGTTTCAGCTTTTTCTTGTATCATTTTCTCGATTTAGGTTGGAACAGCAAAAGCCAGGTTTAACAATTAATTTTCATGCAAGTACAATATATTTTATATTATTTTAGTAATATCAATTACTAAAATATCCATTATTTCTGTTTATTCACTAAAAGTTTACTATTGGGTTAATGATGGGAATCAGTACGGTTGTGCCAGGCAGCTACGGCATGTTATTAAGTAACTGAGACGTGTTTTGAGACTGCAGCTCATTTGTGACTTTTTGCTATAAACCAATGTCCATTTGCATTTAACGTTACTGATGCTAATAAATATGTAAATATAGTTTTCCTCTGGTTTATTGTCCTTTTTGATTGTCTTATACAACCACTAGAAAGCTTCACAATCTGGATATCAAAAATCAACACATCCAATAAAAATTCAAGTAACTGAGAAAAACTAATATATTAATACATGTCATGCTTCCGTTTAGCTCTACTCTGCTTCCACAATGATTCACTGCATTATTAAAAAAATAAAATCAGGCTGCCCTGTTACTTTTTTATTTTTTACCCTAAAAAGAAACTGTAACATAACAGGTTTAATAAATAAAAATTGCTTTAATATTCCATTGTCACTAAAATGGCCTACAGAATCACTGCCTACAGAAGGGACGCGGCTTCTAGGAGCTGGCTGTGACATCATCAGTCAGCAGCCAATCAGGAGGGCAGAGGTAGAGTAGGGGGAGGGGAGAACAGGCCGCACCACGTCCTGCTGACATATCGCACTGCAGGGAACAACGGAGACACAGGAAATACATTACGTCCAACACAAGCTGTGAATATTAGCAAACAGAAGTGAAAGTCTTCAGAAGAAGCTGTTAGACTATACCTTCTTATTTAAAGCAATGAGGGCAAGCAGCACCGCAGTGGCATCGCAGTGCCTCGCTGCTGTGAGAGGAAAAGCCCGATGCAGTGCTTACCCATCAGACTCACACGTCAGGACCCGGCCGCCTCCGAATGTTTGTCTGACACCGATGTCCTGGCGGCGGCGGGGGATATCCGGGCGATGGTTGCCGGGAGACGGGTGACATCTGCCTTCATGTCGCTAAGTAACTCCTCCAGCTGCCTCAGCACTAAGAGACGACAGTGAGCAGAAGTGGTCATGTTTGGGGCCAAAGGCAGCTACACCCTGCCCTGCCCCCCATGCAGGTACATGGGAAACAGGAACGTATCACGGACCTGGCAAGGAGACCAGTGACTGTTCAAGCTCCAATCCCTCCCGGAATCCTGTCAAAACCGTACCGGGACACTGAGCCTTCCCTCAAAAATATATCGCTGCAAGTTCTTTGAGGAATGAAGAGTGTGGAAATGTAGTAACACTCTTCAACATCTTTGTGTAAGTTCATCGATGTTTAAACCTGGTAACTGGGGACCACTCAGGAATTTGCTTAGCAGGTGTTAACGTCAGGAACTTCAGCTGCACCATGAGGTGCCAGTGTTTGCACTGTAGAAGGTACCTGGCCAGGAACCCAGATGTCTAGCAGCTGGCTGCAGACTTTATAGACTGAACTTGCAGCACCACCTCTGCCTTTCTGCAAACATCATTTGCCTGAATGTAGGAAGCAGGGCTCTGGAGCCCAGGTGCTGTGTCCCTTACACTGCTCTCGGATGACAGTGACTTCTGCATAGCATCCCTACCACAAACTCCAGCCATTTGAAGCTCAGATCCCTTTTTGCTGAGACAGTGTCATGGAGGTGCTGAATCAGACCTATCCTGTTAGGTCTCCATCTATCCCTGCCAGTTAGCTACAAACTGCAACCAGTGTTCCTCTTTGCCACTGTTGCACATGCTGTCATTCATTTCGAGACGCTTCCTGTGGACACCTCCATTTTACACTTTTTCTGCGATTTAAGCACCGACTACTTGGCTTTGTTGAAACTCAGATGCCTTGTGTTGTTTGTAAACTCCTATCAAAGTGCTGAACAGGTATTAATACAATCAAGTCATCTGTCTAACAATGAAAAGCCACCAGGTACCAGTGCAGCTGGAAAGAGTCACTGTCTACCAATATACACAAATTACACATAAATTACATGGTTACCTCTCTTATAACAGCAAGTTTCATTTGTTTACCTTTTCCTAGGTTGCCTCCATTTTTCCCAGATTTTTCAGTGGCTGTAGAAGAATGACCTGCAAAACAACAACATTTTTTAATTGTTCCTGAGTACTTGCATCTCACTTGCTTTTCCCGTAATATTTGCTCAACCTTTCAGTTTCCCAAAACAACCCCAGCTGCCGCTGTTTGTGGGTCTTAATTCCAGCTTGATCCTCGCACTTAAATATCTGTTAAATCCGGTCCAGCAGGAACAGGAGCAGGAACAGGAGCAGGGGCTCGTGCCACAGCATCACCTTTATGCAGGACAGCGCTGGAGGACTTGCTGACAGAGCCAGACTCTTTGTGGTGCTGGTGGGACTCTGTGGGGTGTTCGGGCTCGCTGAAACGTGAGCTGAGGCCTGTGGGGAACTGGGAAGGACCCTCAGACAAGTTCAGGAAGGCGGCTCTGCGGAGCTGCTCCTCGATCACCAGCGCCTGCTCCAGGAGCTGCGAGGAACAGCGGCCAGTGCCATCAACCCCGTTGCCCATCACCAAAGAGCAAGACAAAAAGGACAGAACAGTCAAGGCTGCAGAGCCAGATTGCAGTTCGCACCTTGAACCTGCGGGCCAGAAATCTGTTCTTAACCTCCATGAAGTTGGCCCGGTTCAGCTCACCCTTGAAGGGCTCGTTGAGGATGGTGTACCTGGCATCACCCTGGATATCCTGCCAGCGGGCATAACCATGTCTGGGGTCACCAGTCACGAAGCACAACAGGGAGACTCAGTGCCGACCGACGGCTTGACAAACACTCAGGGGGGCCGAGCAGATCTTACACTTTTTCTATGCTTAAGTAAAAAATAAAAAGATAAAATTTGAAAGTACACATCCTTTAAAGTTTGGGCTAAAACATTGTTAAAAAACAAGAGCTGACAACAGACTTTACTGAGTGCTGGCCTTCAATGCTGTCTAGGACGACAGGTATCAGCACCGTGTAATCCTGTATTGTAAGAAGGTTAAGAATGTAAAGATTTACCTGAAATAGGCAAAAACTGTAATTAGAAATGTATTTATGTAAAATACTTAATGATGAGAGTTAGCGTCAGTAACTGCTACCCATCAGAGAGAGACATGCCCGCCCCTGAGCTCAGGGCCAAGCCGCCCGCGGGTGTCGGGGAAGCGGCCCGCAGGCTGAAGGATACTGTATGATGCCCGCCAGTAGCCAGTAGTCGTGCCGCCGGTGCCAGATCTCATTGGTCTTCTTGGTGACGGTGGCGGCCCTCTCCTCATTCTGCCACAGCGCGTGGAGCTCTGCCGGAGACAGGCGGCATAACGGACCAATCAGTGCAGAGCACTGGAGCCTGATGTCACTGGGAGTACTGAGCCCCCTCCCCGTATCGAGCCCCCCTGCTGCGATCTGCCGTCTGTGAACGACGACATTCACGGCTCTCCTGTCCTTCCACCAGTGTGTCAGGTTCCAGATTTTTCCTGCATTCCTTGTACTGATTTGATCCGTTTTAATGTTCAAAACATCACTTGAGAGTGACACCTAGTGGCCAAACCATCTCCATGCACATTACCACAGGATGGCACCACAGTGTCTTACAGAAACATGAAAAGACAGAACACATGTGACATTAAAGACGTACTCAGCAATCATGGATTCGTGAATGTGGTCAGTCAGTTAGCAGTAACGTAACTGTTCACCATTTCATAACTGCGTATCCGTCAGTATCATCGGAGCAGCCTGTGCTGGCCCGGTCCTCGGTCACCCCGCGCAATCCACAGCACTCGAGGTTTACGCTGCTTTTGTTAGCGGACTTATCTGCTGAACCTCCACAGCGGCGTCAGCTGAAACACGCTGGACCTGACTGGTGTTCGGCCTGACGTTCTGTCACCCAGACTGCTGTCAGAAACTCCCGGAGGCTTTCTGCATCGATCTGAGGGGCCGTAGCTGTCGATGGCTGACAAGGGCTTTGCTCGAGTGCAGAGACTTGCACAGATGTCAGCACAGCAGTCGGATTAAAGCTGCTTTGGCTGCATTCTCTGGACACTCAAAAGCTAAATCCCTGAATCTGGGACCCAACAAAGGACCACCAGACTGCTCCCTGAGTTTACTCTGACGATCACATTATGTCAACTTTCCTTTCTTTATGGCAGAACATTGTGACCAGAGGATTGACTTTTGGAGCAGAAACTCTCACACTCGTGATCATCGCGGTTTAAGGCGTTTATGCTGGTGCTGAGCGGCCCGTCCTGCAGCCGCTGCCTCACGCTGCTCAGACCAACAGTGGGCCATTAAGACGGTGCTGCCCCGCCGGGAGTGACATTCACTTTGGATTTCCCATCTGCTCCTATATGTTTAAGAGCTGCTGCTTTGCAGGGTTGTTATAGCTGAAGAAGTCAACTATATGTCAAGACTGATCCCAGAACAGCTGAATTCATCTGTATACCGAACGAGGAAAAACAGAAAGGTTTTGAAACAGCGGTGTAGTAACCCCCGAGGGGGGGGATAAAGCGCCTGCCCAATGGCCCCATACAGGACTGTCACACAGATTTCAAAATAGCTGTTTCTAATTTGCCTTCACTGTGGATTTGGATCAGAACATGCAGTTTCAGTCCATCTTTCCAGCAATGTCACTTCAGGGCCTCATCAGTTCTGTCCCTGGCATTTATTTTTTCAGATGTTTTCATCACTGAAAACCACGTGGAAATATCCATCCTTTAACCTCTCTATCGTTTTAAATGCTGCCCTGCCCCCCCTCACACTCACTGCCCCCCACCTGTGAAGCCTCCATCTGCAATGTTGAACATGAATTTGTGTTTCACTGGCTTCTTCTCCTCGCTTGCACTCGTCGCTCCCTCTTTAAACGTCCCTCCGTTCTGTAGCTTCGAGGCTCCCTCCAGGACGCCCCGATCTTTCACATCCTTTGGATCTGGAAGATGCAGAGCAGAGGAGAAAGAGGATGGGAAAGAGCTCAGAGCAGTTTGGATACAGAGCAGAGGAGAAAGAGGATGGGATAGAGCTCAGAGCAGTATGGATACAGAGCAGAGTAGAAAGAGGATGGGATAGAGCTCAAAGCAGTATGGATACAGAGCAGAGTAGAAAGAGGATGGAATAGAGCTCAGAGCAGTGGGCCCTGATATGGCTTCCCATCCCCTGCTGAGCCACACACTGCCCTCAGAGAGTGAAAATGAAACTTTAGCTCCATCCATCCATCCATCCATCCATCCATAGGCCAGAGTGGGTTGAGAACACAGGGCCAGAAGTGGGGAGACTGGGTGGGGTCCCTGGCTGTCACATGGCACACACGTCCCCATGCACAGGAACACACGATCTGCTGCGGAGACTAAATCACCCTTTGGATGCCGTGAGGACGGCAGCGGGACCGAAGCACACTACAGCGGCTATGGATGCTACCTCTGTCATCAGCCTGAGCCTGGCTGTCTTTTTCAGGTTTGGCCGCCTTCTTGCTGTCTGCTGATGGACCTTTAACGGGGAAAACAGGAAATTATACATCATTTCCCGGAGCCCAGGGCGTCCTCTGCTTATCCAGAGAGGAGCTTTCTGCCGCAGCCGCCGCCCCCCCCGGTCCCACCTTTCATCTCTGACTCCTCCGTTTTGGCGCTGGGCCCGTCTGACTTCGCGTCTGAGGACTCCCTTTTCTTCTCCGTGTCCTCCAGCCCCTGATCCTCATCTCTTTCACTTTTCTTTTCTGTGGCTGAGCCCGCTTCCTCCCCCTGGCGATCCTTGTCCTTTCCGGAAGACGCGGCTGATTTGGTCTCATCAGGAACTGTTATGACCTGAGAAAGGAGAAGATCTGCACTGTAGATTTTGCGTTCTCTCCGATGCTCTGCGAAGGTGACCTGTTCACAAAGCCTGCACCTCGGGCTCCTCCATCCGTGCCTCTTTGCTCTCCCTCCCAGCCCCCGCCTCAGGCTTCCCATGTCCCTCCAGCGGCTCCTTCTCACTATCCGACGGTTTGGGAGGCTCATCTGCATGGGCACAAGACGCCAAGGCATATCAAATCCATCCTACCACACTGAGATGCTATGGGCAGCCAGGGCGGGACAGGGGCACCTGTAGGGGCAGTGCTGGCCTGGGTCTTCGCCGGCGTTCCAGAGGAGGCCGTCTTCGGGTTCCCAGGAGGGTCTGAATGCGCCGCCTTCCTGCTCTCCTCATGCTCCAGCATCCCGGGCATGGACCACTGACCGTTTGTGTGCTCAAACTCCTGCACCTGTTCAGACCAGAGGGGGCACCGGCAGCCATTATCTGTGATCACTTTGTACACACTTTCACCAGACAATATTTGTATAAAGTATTTTATATAATTTATTTTGTTGTTCTGAAGAAGACCATGAATGAAACTGCTACATAAATTCAACTGATCA